GCAGGTGTAGCACTTCCTGCAGTTGCAGGGAAAGGTGCCGGTGTGATGGGGTTCGTGGGGAGTGTGGAGGGAAAGAGGGAGTCACAGAGAACACCGTCCCTTCAATAGGGAGATAGGGGTGGGGAGGGAAATATCTCTTTGGTTGTCGGATTGGATTGTTGGTGGCAGAAGTGGTGGAGAATGAAACGCTAGATGTGGAGCTTGGTGGGGTGATACATGAGGACAAGGGGGATTGTGTCTTTATTTTTGTTGCGGGGGAAGGAGTGTGGGGGCAGAAGTGCAGAGATGGGGTTGAGGGCATTTTTGATCACTGGAGGGGGAAGTTACAGTTCTTGAAAAAGAACATCTGGGATGTTCGGGAGTGGAACACCTCATCTTGGGAGCAGACACGGTGGAGGCGGAGGAATTGGGAGTAGGGGATTGCATTCTTGCAGGAGGGTGGGAGAGAGGAGGTGTAGTGTAGGTAGTTGTGGGATTCGGTGAGCTTGAAATAGATGTCAGTTTTGAGGCGGTCCCCGAGATGGAGACGGAGAGGTCCAGGAAGAAGATGGAGGTATCAGAGTTGGTCCAGGTGAATTTGAGGTTGAGGTGAAAGGTGTTAGTAAAGTTGATGAACTGTTTAAGCTCCTCACGGGAGCACGAGGCAGTTGCAATACAGTCATCAATATAGTGGAGGAAAAGGTGGGGGATAGCGCCAGTGTAAACTGGGACAAGGTAGCCATAATAGCCCAAGCCAAACATAGACACGGACGGGAATTCCTCAAGGCATGGTTCTCCACCCATAACGCAACCAACAAACATATAGAATTGGACCCTACATACAAACCCATACAGATCAAAACCAGAAATGACACAAATCACCATAACAGACCAGACAATATAAATTCCAAACAGAGTAGAATAACATTGCTTCATCGGCGGCTCCACTAATGATGTCACCTAGCATGGTGATGAAACATCTGAATGAGAACAAGCCCGTTCAGTGAGCAAGTCAACAACCTCATACCACTGTTGTTCCCCCTTTATCTGTGGGTTTGATGGTGTGGTTAGGGTTGGAGCAGAGGGAGCGGAGGGCTGCGCATTCCATGGGGGAAGAGGTTGGAAGGAGTGAGAGGGGTGGCGAAATTGAGGCGATCAACATCGTGACGGCAGTTGGAAACGAAGAGGTCGAGGGAGGGTAGGAGGCCGTGGGGTGGTGTCCAGGAGGATGAAGTTTATTGGAGGCGGGAGAAGAGAGACAGTTGTGGTTGTTGGAGGTCAGTCATCTCACCTTTAGGGCATCTCTGTAAGGGCTCTTCAGGGTAGTGTCCTAGGCCCAACCATCTCCAGCTGTTTCATCAATGAATGAACTTCCATCATCGGGTCAGAAGTGGGGATGTTCACTGATAATTGCACAATATTCAGCAACATTCACAACTTTTGAGTTACTGAAGCAGTCCATGTTCAAATGCAACAAGATCTGCAAAATTCTGGCTTTGGCTGACAAGTGACAAGCAACATGTATGCCACATCAATGCCAGACAATGTCCATCGCCAATAAGAGACATTCAATGGCGTTACCATCACTGCATTCCCCACTATCAACATCTTAAGGGTTAGCATTGACCATAAACTCAACTGGACTCACCATATAAATACGGTGGCTACAAGAGCAGTTTAGATGCTAGGCAAGTAGCTCATCTCCTGATTGCACAAAGCCCATCCACCAACTACAAGGCACAAGTCTGGAGTGTGATGGAATACTCTTTACCTGCCTGGATGAGTGCAGCTTCAATAACATTCAAGAAGTCACCCAGGACAAAGTTTCCCACTTGTTTGGCACCACGTCCACTCCTTCCACCACTGATGCTCAGTACCAGCAATGTGTACTATCCACAAGATGAACTACAGAAATTCACCAAAGATCCTTAGACAGTACCTTCCAAACTCATGATCGCTTCCATCTAGAAGGACAAGGGCAGAAAATATATAGGAACACTATCATGGTTATATATATATATATATAGAGAGAGCGAGAGAGAGAGAGAGAGAATTGTCATTTTGAGGTCCAGAGACATTTTTAGATGTATCAAATGGTACATTTAAGATGATTAAACTGGTCAAGATTTATAGCTTCTTAAGTATTGGGAGGTTATGAAATTTGACACAAATGAAAAGCTATGCATTGGATTTTAAGATGACTGCCAAGGTGCAGCAACTGGTGTTGAAAGCAGGGTGGGAGGGATTTAGTGGTCAGCAGCAGACACTTCTCAAGTGTCATCAGCACAGATCACTTCTGCAGTTGCATCTAAAGGATGAAGATACACAGGTACCAACATATTCAAGGTCAGGTCAGTGGGTTCAGAAGGGTGCTGGAATCATTCAGGCTCTCATGATTGTGTTCAAGGAAGGGAGCTTGCTGAAAGCTTGCACAATTCCCATAGGCACCCTATCTGTGAATAAAAGACAATTCAAAAAGGAGGCGCCTTACCCTGGAACCAAAGGATTTACATGGCAGTATCACCGTGTAGCAGAAGGAAATCTTAAATTCCTGCTAGATGCCAGCAGAAGCAGGCGGCTCCACGACTGGTCAAAAATAGCTGAACTGTGACAAATGGCACTGTTCCCATGTCTGGCATTGTGGCATAGCATGGACTTTATTAAGTAGGTACATTCAAAGCAAGAATCTATTGCTTCAAGTCACCACTGAACGTCCTCCTGCTGACAGTTATCTTGTATTTCTTTTCCTCATTAATAGTATTGAAATGAAGTGATACCAAGAATTCTACACAGTAGGCTTTTTCAGTTATGTCAGTGGTATCCAAAAATTCAACATTTTTTTTAACTGGCTATCATTTTTGAACTTTATTCCTTAGACTAGCTTTAGGCTTGCTAATGGATGAGAACTTGAGCAATAATTCAAATGTTTGTTACTGAAAACAACAAATTCTGGAGATCTCAAGGGGTCAGACAGCATCCATGGAGACAGAGCAAGTGAATGTTTCAAGTCTAGATGACTCTAGGGTGCAGCATTTATGCTTATAGTTGGAAGGGTGGGGTAGGGTGGGGTGGGGTGGGTGTAGAGTGCTGGGGGAGAAAAGATGTCGATATAGGCCCGAAACGTCAGCTTTCCTGCTCCTATGATGCTGCTTGGCCTGCTGTGTTCATCCAGCTCTACACCTGGTTATCTCAGATTCTCCAGCATCTGCAGTTCCTACTATCTCTGGTAGTTCAGATTAATTGATCGGAATGTGAGAATGGCAGAACCTTGGTGTGCAGTTGTGGGGGCGGGGTTGCGGGGAAGCAAATGACAGAAGATGTAACAAGTAAAGCTAAGAGAAAGGGAAGAAATGGGAGTTGATTCACAACTTGAAGGCGTTGAAGTCAATATCAAGTCCAGAAGGCTTTAAAGTGCTTGAAGACATTGCTCCAGTTTGCCTTGTGATTCACTGGACCACTGTAGCATGCCAAGGACAGACAAGTGGATATGCAAGCAGGATGCTATGTTAAAATGACCAGCTACGGGAAGGTTGGGGTCATGCTTATGCACAGACCAGAAGCGTTCTCTGTGCTTGGTTTCTCCATTGTCCAGTAGGCCACATTGGGTGCAGCAAATACAATTTACAAGATTGGAAGTGGTACAGGTGAAATGCTGCTTCACCTGGAAAGACTGTTTAGAACCTTGGATGGTTACCAAAGAGGTGGATGGGCAGGTGTTGTACTTTCTGCAGTTATGCGGTAAGGTGATGGTGGTGTTAGTGGTCAATGAATGGACTAGGGTGTCCCAGAGGGAATGATCCTTGCAAAATACAGATGGGGCAGTGAAGAGGAAGATGTGTTTGGTGGTGGCAGCGTTCTGCTGGAGTTGTCCGAAATGGTGGAGGATGATCCTTCGAATGCAGAGGCAGGTGGGATAAAAATTGAGGACAAGGAGTACCCAATCACACTGTTGAGAGTGAAGGGAAGGGGCGAGGGCAGAAGTACAGCTGATAGGTCAGATGCAGTTGAGGGCCCTGTCAACCACTGTTATGAGAGAAGTAAGCCATGTCAACATTACTGTTTTGGTAGGTGTCATCATCCAAACATGATACAACATAAGGTGAAGGAATTGGGGAAATGGAAAAGAATCCTTGCAGGAAATGGGGTGCAAAGAGCTGTAGTGAAGGTAGCTATAGGGATCAGTGGCTGTGTAATGGATAGCAGTGGACAGTTTATTCCTCAAACTGAAGACAGACAGGTCAAGGAAAAGGAGTGTCAGAATTGGATGACATGCACGTTATAAGAGGGGTGGAAATTGGAGGCAAAATGAACAAATTTTTCAAGGTCCTGGCAGGAGCATGAAGCAGTCATTGATGTACCGACGACAGAGCTGTGGGAGGGGGCCAATGTATGATTGTTCCACATAGCCCATAACAAGTCAGGCATAACTAGCTTTTGATTAGTATATCATTTTCTGAGTGTGCTGTCTTCCAGAAGATCAGCTGCATGAACTCACAAAGCAACAGTGACCACAGAAACTGGAAACAATGAAATGCCTGAAATTTGAATTAAAGTTGCAAAAATCTTGCTACTACCTCCCATTGCTACCTGGATAGCTGCTGCCATCAGCAGGAAGGTCTGCGCACAAACTCGATGAATGCTGCTGGAAATATGGCTCAAGTAGAATGACATTTAAGCTGTTCAAAGCAACTTGTCATCTAGCACTGACAGGCTTGCATTCCTATTGTGAAATTACTCAGCCTTGATTTGTACAATTGCCAGCACAACTCCCTAATAAAAGTTTAAACTTGTAGTAAATGTGGCAGACATTTATGTCAGGTCCTAGATGGAGAGTTTTAGATCTGCTGTCTACTAAGATTTCTTTCTCCTAACAAAATAACAATAGGATACGTTAGTGCAGAAAATTAAATTGAGTCACCCCATGAAGGTGGCAAGTGATGGTTCTAAAAAGGAAAGCATTACCATTGGAAGTATCAACAAAAGCACTTCGTGCAAAAAAGGTAACAAAATCAGTCCATGGCACTGGTTAATCATCCTCATTGTTGCTTTTACTAAGACCAAAGTTGTTTATAACTATGCACGGTTCAGTATAAACAAGGAACACATCACCCTAGAGCAAATTTCAAGGAAAATAATGTAAATAGTTGTGCAGTTGGCATGAATTTGCGAGATTAGGAACTTTTGGTCTTTAATATACACAGAGAAGGGAATCAACGTTTACAGGGTGCAGGCAGGAAATGTGGAACTGAGACCATGATCAAATAAGCCATGATCTTATCGAATGGTAGAACAGACTGAAAGAGTTAAATGGCCAACTTGTGTTTATGATCTAACAGAAGCTGATGTTAACACGAGATGCTGAAAATGAAGCCTATACTATTTTCAAATTGATGCAAAATTAACACAGAAAAATGCATCACAAAAAACAGATTTAGAATATTATCTATAGAAAACACAAGTGTACATTGGTAAATGACATTAAAAAAGGAACTGCTAATCAACAAAGCTTTATAATCAGCTAACGCTCATAGAACACTGAACACATCTTATTAGCTTTTCCTCCTTTGGATGGCATTAGATTACCAAACATGGAATGGTTTATTAGTCAGAAAAGTGAACATTTTTACATTTTCAGATTACATATTCAACAAAACTATCAATATCCCTGGGCCTGTTACACATCTTAAAAAACACATTGGCTCAATGGGAAATGCTTTGCTGAACCTGAGAAAAAGACACGGCAATGTGCTCCTTAATATTGTTCAATCTATTCTAACATCGTCACAATTTACAGATTGAATATAAAACTGTTTATAAATCAAACTAAATGCATTTAAATAACATTCTATAAAAGATCATGTGCAAAGATAATAGTTTTACATGAATAGAATTGTGACTGAGTCAATTACAGATTGCTTTAAATCAGTACTGTCTGAAGTTGCCAAAGTTGCTTAATCCAAGGCATCTATTTTAGAGGACAATTCCATTCCTTGTGACTTTATAAAGGATAAATAAAAATGCAGCTGTGTTTGGGCTATTTAACGGGAAAACTGCCTCTTGTCTGATTTACTCTTGCCAATTTGCTTGAAGATCTTTGCTTTGTGGACATTTTTGGCCTTCTGGTACCCAAATCCACCTCCACCACCTCTCTTCTTCAGTTTCATCCCTCTGCTGGCATTTATATCTAAAGCATTCTGGTTAAGGAAAAACTATATCAGAAAAACAGAAGTTCAAATAAGAGCAGAAATGACTAGGAAGAAATACATTGAGCACTATTTCCAAACAAAATTCAGACATGAGACACTTTTCAACTTGTACAACAAAAATTATAAAGTTAAATAGCTAAGTACAAGTGAAGCCAACATGCTGGGGAGACATGGTTTAACTTACATTTGATAAGTTATTCTCTCCCTCATCTTTTTCGGAACAATGGCCAGATCATCTCTCAAATGGAGTCATTCTGTTTATTGTTCCAAATCATTAAAATGTGAACTGTGTGTATGTGAAATAATATACATCTTTATCAGTTTAAAACATTTGAAACGTGATCTAAATAATTATAAAAAGTAGCCATAAGGATAAGAGAAGAGCAGAATATGCAGAAAGTAAAGACTTGGTTTGATTGGCCCTAATATTTTTGGGCTAGGTGGCAACATGGTTGAGTACTCCAATCCTTTCAGCCAACAAGTAGCTCCTCTGAAATACCGCAAGGAGTAGCTGAAATGACTATCATGGACACACTTAAAAAGGCAGCCACATTTGGAGGAGCCAAAGCAAACAGGATATTATAATAGGGCTAGACAACCAGGGAAGAAAAGAAACCTTATGTGGAGCATGAATGCCAATACAGCCCAGTTGGGTTCAATGACCTTTTTCTATACTGTAGTCACTGCATAACTCTGAATTGCTGGAAAGAATTGGCTTGGGGGTTCACTAACAAATATCCCAAAGTCAAAACTGCAAACCGTAAAATAACTATTCGGAGTACAAGGGAGTAGAGCAGGAAGAGGAGACAAGTTTAGAGTTACGTAAAATCGACAACTAAGTAGATGATAAAAAACACATACTCTATGGTCATGACAAACATTCAAACTCCTTTCCAATTAGGAATTCTGATTTAATCATTCCTGGGTCAATATTTAAGCACAAAATATGCTAGCGTGTTTAAGGGTGTGCTATTTTGGAACAGTATTCCAACTTATGTTGCATTATTTAAAAGGAAAATCAATAATCTATTTAAGTGAAAACATCTAATTTCATTTTAAAACAAATGAAGTTGAGACAAATTGGTTTAGATACTGAGGGTCATAAACATCTCAAAGTGCCTTATGCTTGTTACCAAAACTGGATTTCAGACTACAACACTCCCACAGGCACAGTTACCATTTTTTTGTAGATATATATACACACAAATCTTCTTTTAAATATAGTGCCTTCACTTGAAATGGCTTCCACCTACAGTGCTTAAATCGAGATGGTCATTGAAATGGTCAGAAAAACCAAAAAGTAAGGCAATTTATTTTGAAGGACATCAACATATAACTAACTTCCATTTAGAAAAGCATTAAAATGAATAAAGGAAAATAGTTGTAAAAGGATACTAAGATCAACATATGGTGGTACTTTGAAGCCAAATGAAAGTGCTACTTTGGGCAGATCCAGGGTGCGGACACTGTATATGTCTTTGAGAGAATGAGAATCATAGGCACGGATGTAAGACTTGTAAGCTTCCTGTGCTGATTTGTGCAAGTAATAATTTTTTTCAATTAGTTTTTCAAGCTGAAATAAAAACAAAAATAGATATTTAGATTGAAGCTAATTAGAAAGGAAATACAATCATCAGGAATCCGAGATCAACTGATTTCTGAGGTTTACAAATTGAAATGATCACAACTCATCATATAGCCTCCAGAAAGACACTTCCAACGCAGATGTAATAGAGGGAGTGGAAAACACTAATCCCACAGTGTGAACTTTTCTTATCACTTGACTTCTGTTTAAATGAAAGTATGAGACAGTGAACCCAAATGATTGTCCCCATGTTTAATGCGTACAGATGAAAATGGGTAATGGACAAAAGTGGAATTGCTCCTTTGAGTTTAGCAACCGGAACGAACATACAAAAGATAAATCCATTTGCAGTAACAAACAGAAATTAAAATGTGCCTTGGAAAGAAAATAGGCACTCATGGGTTTTGTTAAAATAAACACAGTGGATTGCATTTCTTTCCATGCTGATAGCAAGGACTGCAAATGCTGGAAGTCAGAGTCGATAAAATGTGGAGCTGGAGGAGCACAGCAGGTCAGACAGCATCTGAGGAGCAGGAAAGTCGATGTTTTGGGTCGGGACCAACTCTCTGACGCCTCTTCCTACCGTCCCCTCGCTTATGACCCCACCCCTGATCACCAAACCATGATCTCCCAGACCATCAAGAATTTCATCACCTCAGGAGATCTCCCATCCACAGCCTCCAACCTGATACTTCCCAACCCCGCACCGCCCGTTTCTATTTCCTACCCAAAATCCACAAACTTGACTGCCCTGTTCGACCCATTGCCACTGCCTGCTCCTACCCCACTGAACTCATCTCTGCCTACCTCGCCTCAGTTCTATCCCCCCGCTCCAGGAACTCCCCACCTACTTTCAGTACACTACCCAAACTGACCACCTTCTCCAAGACTTTCAATTCCCCAGGCCCTAACACCTCATCTTCACCATGGACATTCAGTTTCTCTACACCTGTATCCCCCATCAGGAGGGCCTAAAATCCTCCATTTCTTCCTATCCCGTAGGCCCAAACAGCCCCCGTCCACCAATACCCATTCGCTTGACGAAACTTGTCTTCCCCCTCAACAACTTTCTTTTAACTCCTCCCGCTCTCTACAAACAAAAGAAGTGGCTACAGGCATCCTCATGGGTCCAAGCTATGCCTGACTCTTTGCAGGATACATGGAACAGTCCCTCCTCTTCCTCTGCTACATGATGACTAAATCAATGCTGCCTGGTGCTCCCATGAGGAGCTCGAACAGTTCATCCACTTCACCAACACCTTTCACCCTGACCTCAAAATTTACTTGGTCCATCTCTGACACCTCCCTCCCCTTTCTGGCCTCTCCACCTCCATCTTTGGAAACTGACTCAGCACCGACATCCATAGCTACCTTGACCACACCGCCCCTCATCCACCCTCTTGCAAAAATGTGATCCCATACTCCCAATTCCTCCATCTCCACTGCATCTGCTTCCAGGATGAAGCATTCCACTCTCGACATCCCAGATGTCCTCCTACTTCATGGACCGTAGCTTCCCTTCTCCCGTGATTCTTAATGCCCTCAACTGCATCTCCTGCATTTTCCGCACTTCTGCTTTCAAACCTCCTTCCCCCAATAACAATAAGGATAGAGTCCCCTGGTCCTCACATACCACCCCAAAAATCTCCAAATCCAACGTATTATCCTCCGCCATTTTCACCATCTGCAATCAGATCCCACCACCAGAGATATTTCTGACCACTCACTCGGCAACTTCCTTGTCCGCTCAACACTCCCCGCCAACCCTTTCACCACTCCCGGCACCTTTCCCTGCAACCACAGGAAGTGCTATATTTGCCCCTAAACCTGCTCTCACCTCCGCCCAAGGCCTGAAACAATCATTCCAAATCCGACAGGGATTCACCTGTACATCTTCTAACCTGGTCTATCGCATCCTTTGTTTCCGACGTGGTCTTCTCTACATTGGAGACACCAAGCACAGACTTGGTGACCGATTTGCAGAGTTCTGCACGTTCCAATCAGCATCACCTTCTGATTGTCAGCCATTTCAACTCCCCTTCCCATTCCCACAGCAAAATGACCATCCTGGGCCTCCTCCACTGTCACAGTGAGGCCACACGTAAACTGAAGGAACAATACCTTATATTCCGCCTTGAGAGCTTACAGCCCAATGGCCTTAACATAGAATTCACCAGCTTCCAAATCTGCTCACCCTCCGGTCTCATCCATGTCCAGCCATCCCTTTCATCCCCACCTCCTTGACCTGACACAACCTGTCCATCTTCCTTCTCACCTATCCACCCCAATCTTCCCACTGACCAATCGCTACAACCCACTACCTACATCCACCTATCAGCATCCCACCTACATTCCCGCAGCCTTCGCACCTCCCTCTATTTATTTCTGAGCTGTCTTCCCCCTCCCCAGTTCTGATGAACGGTCCCGAACCGAAACATCGACTTTCCTGCTCTCGGACGCTGTCTGACCTGCTGTGCTCTTCCTTTGATGCTGTCTGGTTCTATTAAAGGTGCGCATGGTGCCCTACAGAATCTTGAATAATAAGAGCAATTTAGTTTTCCCCATATACTGCAAAGTTAACAACATTTCCTGACAACCTCAACTTATTTAAACACTGCAGTTTACAAGTGGCTGAAGATGTTTGCTGATCAAAGAACAAAGAAGAACAAAGAAAATTACAGCACAGGAACAGGCCCTTCTGCTCTCCAAGCCTGCGCCGATCCAGATCCTCTATCTAAACCTGTCGCCTATTTTCCAAGCATCTGTATCCCTCTGCTCCCTGCCCATTCATGTATCTGTCTAGATACATCTTAAATGACGCTATCGCGCCCACCTCTACCACCTCCGCTGACAACGCATTCCAGGCACCGACCACCCTCTGCGTAAAGAACTTTCCACGCATATCTCCCTTAAACTTTTCCCCTCTCACCTTGAAATCGTAACCCCTTGTAATGGAGTCCCCCACTCTGGGAAAAAGCTTCTTGCTATCCACCCTGTCTATACCTCTCATGATTTTGTAGACCTCAATCAGGTCCCCCCTCAACCTCCGTCTTTCTAAGAGCATCATTTATATGTTGCAATGTTTAATTTCTTCATTCTCTCTATTACAGTCAGTATCAGGTTTTGCTGAACCACTTAGTTCTTGAGGCACATCTGTACTCAGATCCTACTAAATACCAGCTGCTGAATCTTATCACAGCAGTTACTTGATAACTATTCCTCTGCAGAATTTTTTCAAGCTTTCATGTATATTACTGTAAGTTGTTGCTTCAACATTTGCTACAAAAACACTATATACCCCAGAAAGGATTACTAAACAAATTATATTTTCAAACGCACACAATTGCTCCTGAATCGAGGTCATTCGCATTTACTCCATGGAACCATTTTACTGCATTCCAAGATTGCCAACCAGTAGAGTGGCTAAACAATTCCCAAATTCAATGTTGTGTTGAGTTTTTCCTTTCTGAAACATCTTTTTCTGACTCAGCACTGGCTTGTACTGTCATTGGACTGTCATTGGACTTTTAAACAACTCCCACTCAAGGTCTAAAATACAAATTTCATTACTTTGCATGGCAGTTTCACTGTATGCATGGAATTGGCAAATTCTCAGAGAAACTAGAGAATCTCTTTTTTCCAATTCAAAAATTTGTTTAAAAATACTTTAAATTGGCACAGGGCGGCACGGTGACTCAGTGGTTAGCACTGCAGCCTCACAGCACCAAGGATCCGGGTTTGATTCCAGCCTCGGGCGACTGTCTGTGTGGAGTTTGCACATTCTCCCCATGTTTGCGTGGGTTTCCTCCAGGTGCTCCGGTTTCCTCCCACAGTCCAAAGATGTGCAGGCTCGGTGGATTGGCTATGCTAAATTGCCTGTAAGTGTTCAGGAATGTGTAGATTAGGGGGTTTCTGGGGGGTGGGATGCCTTGAAGGTCAGTGTGGACTTGTTGGGCCGAAGGGCCTGTTTCCACACTGTAGGGATTCTATGATCTTCTATGATCTATGAAATCACTATTATAATTTAGATGTGCCATTTTACCTGAACTTGTATATTTGCGATCTTGCTCCAGGAAAACTCAAACTCATTCAATGGTACCTATCAAAAAAATTTAGCATTGACATTAATAATACTTAAAACTAAAGTGAAAACTTCAATCATTTCTAATTCTGTCAGGCTCAGGTGATTGCAAAAGCCTGGTGTCTGACCAGGAGATGTGCTATATATTTGTGCCAGCAACTCAGATGATAAACTTATAGTTATAGATGTTTTGGGTTATCATAATGCATATGTTAATCTTTACATTAAAACTGCAAGTAAACGTCAATAGTAGGTTATTGGTTCAGTCACGCTTTGCAACGCCAGGAGTGTATAGATCCTTATGTAAACAGAAGCTTTCTTTTTATTACAAAGTCAATTTGTTTCAGACAAATCCCTGATTACAACTATTCATAATGCAAAACTCAAAATATTTCCAAATTTCTATGCTTGTATCGGTTCCCACGATTTACTTTATCCCTCCAAACCAAAGACAGAAACTAACAAAATTAAATTGAAGACTACAAGTTTAGGAAATTTATAATCTCAAGTCAGAGTTTAAATTTTCCCACAAAAGATAATGCAATCCCATCTGTGGCTGGCTCAACAATCACCAGATTGACATTATCATGAAAGAATTTAGAAATTTTATCTATTATGCGCAGATAATTCTTAGATTCATTATGTTCATTTTACTTAGAAAATCCAAAACAGAAGCAAAAATTAGGAATTACTCAATTTACATCAACATTTATAACTAGCTAACTAAACCTTGAATTAATTCTCAATGCCTGTGGAAAAACAATTACCCTGGCCTGTTTGAGATAACGAAGGAAACCGAGTTCTTCTGCTCTCAGAATAAGTAACGCATGCCCTCGTGCATTAATTCCTCTTGCAGTCCTGCCCACACGGTGGATATATTCCTGGTAGGATAATGAAAAGATGGGACATAATGAACTTCCAATCCATTTGGGTAGAAGTATAGCAAATAATTTTAACAATAACTGCAATGAATTCTGTTTGGTAAATAATTTGGAAATAAATGACCAAGTTATTGAAATATCATTAAAACTAATTCACTAATATCGATTAGGAAACTCAAAGGCTACACCTAGCTTAAATGTTATTCTAATCCCTCATTAATTCTTAACTCTTAGCCTAAATTTAAGCATTAACAAAGAAGACAAGACACTTTCATTGCAAATAAGATATCCCACAAGAAATGTTGTTAATTGAAACATCCGGGTCCACTTAAATGCAATTTACATTTGGAATAAATTAATGGGCTTGAAGTTCTTTGATCTACAAATACACTGAAGAGAAAATTGGTGACAAACTTTGGAATTATAATTCTAAGTTTAGCATTCACTTTAAAATTACAATGTTGTACCTTTGGATCATCAGGGGGATCATACTGTACAATCCAGTCTACTTCAGGAATATCCAGCCCTCTGGCAGCGACATCTGTACATAACAGTATTCCATCAGCTGCATTACAGAACTGGAAGAAGGTGGATGTACGTTTTGTCTGTTTTTGCTTTCCCTTTGAACAAAGAAAATTCATGGGAAGAATTAAAGGAAGCGATTTGCATTTAGACATTACAAGTATTATGTAAACCAAATTGTACAATTCTTTTCATAATCATTAATACATACAGAATTTGAACGCATAATCTCGGCAGACAGTGTTTTACAGAAGCAATACTTCAAAGCAGATAGAGCACTGCATTTCAAATGAGATAAGCCAAGATTTATTACTTCAAGCCAAGGCTTGAGAAACAACACAAAGATGTACCTATATAGTCAAAACAGTCAGGAAAGGAACAGCAGCTTCAGAGCGAAAATCTGCATGGAGAGAGGATGGACCGAGTGGTTAAACCAGCAGTGGAAAAGGAGATCTTCAGGCCCAGAGCTTAAAATGTGACATGAGGAATTAGAAGTGGCATTGATATGGCAGGAGCATCTGCTTGGGTACTTGTGCAGCATTCAGCCCACTTGGCAGTGAACGTTTGCTGATCTTATAGTGGCTGATCAATGTGAAATGCACTTCAACACTTACCCTCAACCAAGGAGGCCAGTGGGCTCCTAGGATTATGTGGTTAAATGGGCAACATGTGCGTCAATCCCTCTTCATGCAGCTGAGAGCCAAGAACAGCGTGACACTTATCAATGACAGAGAGACAGTCAGCACATGTAGGAAGTGCCATTCACTGATCTGCTCAACTGAAACGCAGTCCTTGATGCAAATGCCCTTGACCTCATACCAGAGGATGCTAACCGCGAACAGCTTAACGCCACCTCAGCTTCAGGTTGAGAGATCCACAGCTGAGTACCAACAAAGCCACCATCATAGATGGAACACCCACTGAAATTCTAAAATACAGTGGTGAAGCACTCTTGTCACGAATACACGACATCATCTCCCTCATCTGGTAGGCAAATGAGTTTGCCAAGGAATCTCTGAGACACTATCTTTGTCGCCATCTTAAGAAAGGAAGTGATCACAGTGGGATCTCCTGTTGTCCGCCACAGAGGAGGTCACTGCAAAAATCCCAAGTTGCCTCCTCCTCGTGGCTGAAGAGCTGCTCCCAGATTCACAACGTGGATTCTTGCTATTAGTCACAGCAAGACAAGGCCAAGAAAAATGCAAAGTGCAGCAGCTACCTTGATATATAGCATTTCTGGATCTTACAAAGACTTTGACTCTGCCAACTGGGAAGGATTATTGAGTATCTTTAATTTGGCCAACTGGAGAAATTATTGCAATCTTCTGCTTGCTGCACTACCTGCAATCCATGATCCTCACCAACGGATCCATTATAGATCAAATACCATTGCAACGTGGGGTAAAGCAAGGCTGTGTCATAGCATCAATAGTCTTCTTCACCTTCCTCATCACAATGCTCTTCTATAATCAATTAAGCTCCCCGCTAGACAACTGGGTAACTGTTTGACCTACATCTCTTTCAGACCGGGACCGAGGTCACCTTGTAAGTATACACACAGAGACCAAGCTATAATTACAGTCAATGCCTTCACTAAGGCATATGAAATAATGGGCTCAGGCTGAACATTTGGAAGACAAGGGTCCTCTTCCAGTTTGTTCCACCATGCAATAGTATACTCAACTATCAGAATCCTTAGCAAGCCAGTGGACATCATAGATCAATTTTCATAGCTCGAGAACATCCTTTCAGTGAGGGCAGACATTGACAGCAAAATTCAACATTGCTGTCAGGGCAGCCCTCAGTCATCTGAGAAATAATGTGCTTCATGACAAAAACCTCAAGACGTGGGACCAAGCACAAGGTGCTACATGCCCTCCTTGTAGACATGGATAACATACCACAGACACCTCAAAACCTCAGAAAAATGTCACCAGCAACGCATCCATAAAATCTTGCAAATACAATAGTAGAATAGGTGCTTCAATCTCGGTGTCTTCTCTCAGGCCAACTGGTTACAGGTCAGTTTGTGGGCCACATCATCAGTATGCCTGCCAGCAGACTTTCCCAAAACAAGATCTCTAACATGAGCTTCGACACAGTAGTTGTTAGCAGGAGGGCAGAGAAATGTTTCAAAGATGTTTTCAAAACCTTTCTCAAAAGAATTACACATCTACAAGAATCCATGGGAATTTCTTTCCCAAGGTCACTCAATTTTGAGAGGAAACATTGCGAAGGCACTAACATTTTCAGCATGTCCGACAGGCCCAGATGGAGACCAAGCAAAAACAGCAGACAGAGCATGTGAAAACTTGAGCATACATCTTTAAACACCACCTTCACCATCTGTGCAAGGGAGCTCCTATTGTCCTGGCTGACAATTATACTAGACAATATCTGGGACATACTATGGATCTGGAATATATTTCATAAGTGAGGGCTTTTACAGGGGAAAAAGTGCACCCTTTACTCTCACCAATCACCAACTCCAGACTCAAGCCAAATAGCAAATGGGTCATGGTGTAAACTCCAGTAACTCCTTATCAGGAGCACAACAGACAGTAACAAACTGTCACCTTCCAGCATCATTCACATGTCTTAAGGTGCAAATTTGGAAACTGCCCCTTGCATACAAAGATCGAGATCATTAGTACATATCAGGAAAAGTTAAGGTTTAAACACTTTTCCCCCCTCTTAAAAAATAAGAGAAATGGTGTAGGCACTTGTACAATCAGTAGCAGATGGCTCAAAAATGTAACCGTGTTTATTCATACTCAGCTAGAATTATCAATACTACTGTGGGAGAATTCAACCAATTCAATTTCCATAACAGGGTGTTCAATTCAAAATGCAATAGCAATCATGTTCTAAGCTATCCATATAGTCAAGTGATCCAATCTTGTGTTTCAGCAGGTTTCTTCACTGCATTACAAAGATTAAAAGGAAACTCAAGGCCAATGTCTCCTCTGTAATAAATTATTTTATTTCAGTGGCAGCATGAACACTATCGCAAGTATCTTTAAATACCTATGGAGGAGAGAAAACAAAATTGGCTAGAGTGTCCACTTTTGATCAATATTTGATAACTATGCTATAAGTGTGGTTGGGTATACCAGGTTCAAGCTCATTGAAATTTCTCATGGTTTTGAATAATCTCCAGTTGGACTGGATTCCAGAAAGCTTTCTTTTTAACTCACGTGAATTGCCAGAACAGGTAGGTCAATGTAGTTCAAAAGCTCATAGTGATATTTCACAGACATGCACGAAGAGAAAAAAACCATGATCTTCTTCTTGCGATTCTTCTTTAGAAAAGTGAAGAGCAAGAGGAATCTTTTCTCAGATGGGCAAACTACATAACCCTAAAGACAAAGATAAATCAGTCAGAGCATAATAAAGTATTGTATTTGAATTGTACATGTGTTTAGAACAAAGAACAAAGAAAATTACAGCACAGGAGCAGGCCCTTTGGCTTTCCAAGCCTGCGCCGATCCAGATCCTCTATCTAAACCTGTCGCCTATTTTCCAAGGATCTGTATCCCTCTGCTCCCTGCCCATTCATGTATCTGTCTAGATACATCTTAAATGATGCTATCCTGCCCGCCTCTACCACCTCCGCTGGCAACACGTTCTAGTTTACAACTATGAAACACCAAAGTGTTTTGTTCCATGGCGCAGTCTTGCAAGTTTGTGTTCTGTGGACAATGCACCATATTTGTTAAAACTCCACTTGTTAAATACACCAATAATTCTGACCAGCTTTAACTGACTCAATACATAGGCAGACTTGAAACCAAATTTGAGAAAATTATTAAGTTACAACATTTAAAAGACCCAATATTCTTCTCTTAAAATCCCTAATTCAATCTACTCACTGACATGAACATGATCATTTTTAAAAATTTACAAACAATATTATCAAACTCATCAAATAATGAGAAAAGAGGTGGACATAATCAACAACATATACATGTTAACTCCAAACACTGATCAGGATGGAAAAACGTGTTAATGCAAAAATATATCAAAGTGAAAGCAAACAGCCATTGTATTAATCTTGTACTTATCACACAGTTATTATTATGGATTAACTCCTGCTACAGCTAGTTATTTGAAGATCAAAGTTGCTCTATCAAACCGATTAGTAAAAACATAAAAGCAACTGGCATCTGTTCAAAAATATTCCAAAACTGTACGAAATCATTTGGAAAAGTATTCATTAAAGGACAATCAACCTAGATTTGTTAATGGAAGATTGTGACTGACTAAGTTCGACATTTGAGAGAAGTGACAAGTAGAGCGATGAGGATTATAGTAATTACATAAATTTTAGAAAACATTTTGACGAAGCAACACATAGCATATTTGTCAGAAAATTAAAAACTAATGGATCCAAGAGCATCTAAAATTGGCTTACTGACACAAAGGCTCAATATGGAGTTTCCAGTTGTTCATAATATTCAGCAATGATTCAGAAGTAAATGTAGGGGGCATGTATAAGTTACGAAAGGTATGAAAATTGATCACGTAGTTGACAGTGAGGAAGAAAATGTAGACCAATAGATCGGTCTGATGGGGAGAAAAGTGGTGATATAGGAACTCAATCTGAGAGTATTTTTATTTCTGTTCCTTCAGCGGGCATAGGCATTGCTAGCAGGGCATTTATTGCCCATCCATAATTGCTACCCAGTTGGTGGTGATGTGTCATTTTGCAACCTTGGGGTACAGGTAGAGCCAGTGCTAAAAGGAATGGCGTTTCAGGATTCTGACCGAGTCACAGTGAAGGAACAGCGGAAGTTCTAATTCAGGATGGTGAGTGGTTTGGAGGGAAACTTGGAGGTGGTATTCCCATGCAAGTGCTGCCTTGGTCTTTTTAAGTGGCAGAAGCCACAGAAGATGCTTTAAGAGAAGACCTGGTGAGTTACTGTAACGCATCTTGCACACGGTACACAACTGCCACTGAGCAGTTGTGGTGAAGGGAGTGAATGTCGAAGGTGGTGGATGGGATGCCAATCAAGCAGGTTGTTGTGACCTGGACAGTGCTGAAATTCGAGTGTTGTTGAAACTGCCTCCAGTTTAGAATATTTCTGTTAGCGGAGAAGTCTGGATACTCTTTTTTGGCCTGCATGAATTCAATGGGCCTACTGGTTTCCTGCTATGCCAGTAACTTTTCTATGACTCTTATATGAAACAGGGGAGTAGCATTGTATTGAGACTAGAATATTTGCAATAGAGCAACAGCACAAAATGCATTTGTTATTCAATTACTCCCTTACGACTGGTGCCTTCTAAATGGTAGATAAGCACGGAGGAGCCAGGAACTGCATTACTCTCTCCAAACATCTCATCCACTTGAGCTGCTCTTGTTGCCACAATATTTACATGGCTGGTCTATTTCAGTTTCTGATCAATGCTGATGGGATTTGATTGTGATGCTTCAGTTGTGATAACACCACTGAGTGTCAAGAGGAGGTAATTAGATTTCCTCATTGGAAACGGTTATCACCTGTGTGGCACAAATACTATTTGCCATGCATTAGCCCAAACCTGGATGCTGTCCAGATATTACTGCACATGGACATGTGTCCATCTCCACTCTGACCTTATGATGGAGGCAAGATTGTTGATGAAGCAGCTGAAGATAGTCAGGCCTACTAAACGATTCTGAGGAAGTATGATGTAATGCATTTGAGAAGGTCAAAAGAGGCAAGGAAATACAAAAATAAATGGCAGAATTCTGAGAAATTTAAGACCAGCCAAGAGATCTTGGATTACAGCCCACAGATTCCTATGGGTAACAGGACTAGGCAGGCAACATAGGAAAAGCCTTCTGAATTTGGTCAAGACAGCAAAGCATGATCAGGAAGTGAAGCTTGAACTGTATAGAACATTAATTAGAAGAGGGCTAGAGTCGCATTCACATTTCTGATCACTGCATTACAGAAAGAATGTGGCATGACCAGAGTGGGTAGAGAGGCAATCTGTGAGGACTTCTCCCAGAACAGAAAATTTTATCCACAGGAAAGATTGGATAAGCTGGATTTCTCATCTTCGAAACAGAAGAGGCTGAGGGGAAATTTAATAGAGGTATAAGGGCATGATTGAACAGATGGGCAGGACCTATATGACATTTTTCTGTTAGTGGAGAAGTCTGGATACTTTTTTTTGGCCTGCATGAATTCAATAGGCCTATTGCTTTCTTGCTATGCCAGTAACTTTTCTATGACTCTTATATGAAACAGGGAAGTAGTATTGTATTGAGAGTAGAAAATTTGCAATAGAGCAACAGCACAAAATGCATTCATTATTCAATACCCCCTTTTTCCTTGCAAAACATAAAACCATGCAGAAGGGTGCAATTAATTTATCATGACAAACATGTCAAATTCACATTGTCACATCATAATCTAAAACAACCCAAACTAATAGAAAAGTGCTTTGGATATTAAATTTAAAAAAAAAACCACAATCAATAAACATTTTATAGCAATTTTCTAGAATGCATTATAAAGTTAAACACTACTTAGGAATACAACATTCTTCCGACTTGGAGTATATTTTTGAACCGAAACTTTGAACCTCAAAAAGGGGAATAATTGAGGGTACTGTGGATTTTACGTAAAGCTGAAACTCCGCCCCCCACCGCTAAACCTGCTGATAGTACTGTTGGATTTGGCTAAGCCACTTTAGTCATTCAGCAGACAAATTAGCAGTGATAGTTGCCATAATTGGGAAATTAATGCGTTACTTCATAAGGCTGGATAAAAATCTAAAGGAGTCGAGAAGCGACAAATAATTGCAAGCCAGGTACGTCGTTACAAAGTAGTTAGTTAATGGACTTTAATAGTTTCCGGGATAAAGGCAAACAAATGGTCATGCAAGTTCAGATCTGAAGGACTGCTGAAAAATTACATTTTATCAAAGATTTTCATTTCATTCTCATCAGACAAATTGGCAAGAACACCAATATAAAGGGAAAAACAACATTACATTGTACGACAGAACAGTGCTGATTGGCATAAATGTTGCCATGGTGAATGCACCAGTTAGACTGACAGTCAATTACCAAGTCTGGCCTAAATATTACAACAGGATTCTGTTTAATTAAGACATACTCCCGAGAAATGAGCCTAAGAACAACTGCCACTTATTTTGGCAAGTTGAAACAGGTGTAGTGTGTACCTGTTCTTTCTGCCTTCAAAGAACAGGATTCTGAAAGCTACATACATTTCATTTGTGGGAGAATTTAGTACTAGTTTAAAAAAAAAAGAGTGGACTCATATTCACAGCAGAGGTGGGGTGAAACTTTTTCTCTTGGAGGGTTGCTAGCTATTTGAAATTCGCTATCTCAGAGCAGTGGAAGCTGGGTCAGTAAAGAATACGGGAGCGGCGTAGACAGACAAGTGTAGTTAGAGACATAATCAGATCACCCATCATCTTATTGAATGGCACAGCTGGCTCAATAAATTTAACGACCCAAAGATTTGTCCCTGCTTATGATTTTATGGTTTGGATTCATGATTGACATAAGCAAAAGGTGGCCATCTGTTGCACTCGCCAGGGAAAGTGCTAGTTGATATTTTCTATTTGCTAATAAGTCATAGAGTCAGAGGGATGTACAGCATGGAAACAGACCCTCAAGTCCAACCCCGATATCCTAAATTAATCTCGTCCCATTTACCAGCATTTAGTACACATCTCTCTAAACCCTTCCTAATCATTAATACATTCAGATTCCTTATACATGTTGTAATTGTACCAGCCTCCAACTCTTCCTCTAGCACCTCATTCCATACATGCACCATCCTTTGCGTGAAAACATTGCTCCTTAGGTCCCTTTTAAATTTTTCTTGTCTCACCTTAAACTTAGGCCCTCAAGTTTTGGTCTCCCCCACCCTGGGGAAAATACCTTATCTATTTACCTACTCATGCCCTGCATGATTTTATATACCTCAAAAGCTCAACCCTCGGCCTCCGACACTCCAGGGAAAATAGCCCCAGCCTATTCAGCCTCTCCCTATAGCTCAAATCCTCCAATCCTGGCAACATCCTTGTAAATCTTTTCTGAACGTTTTCAAGTTTGACAACAGCCTTCCTATAGCAGGGAGTCCAGAATCAGTCACATGCAGGGAGATCAATGTTCGGTATGAACAACTTCTTAAATAGTAAGTCTGCATCTTCTTATAATATCACAAAACTAATCTTATATGGCAACGTGGATCATGGTCCAGAGTATTTCTCAGGACAAAACTGGTCTCCATTTTGAACTATATTGACAAGTAAATCACAAATGAGTCTTCGAAAAATTGCATATTGAACTACTTGATGTATTAAAATTACCTCTTGTAAATTCTAACAAAGTTTGCGCTGTGTATTTGCATGATTAATAACAAAACAAAAATGCCAGTAAAAACTGAAAATTAAACATTCATCTTACTTGCTCAAGGCCTTCTACAGTAGCAGTTTCTTTGTCATCATCAACACCGACATACAAAGGTTCTTTCTTCAGTGAGATTTTTGCTAAATCTTCCACTCTACGAGTTTGCGTAGCAGAGAAAAGCATTGTTTGTCGTCGCCCTGTGAAGATTGGAAACAAGCCATTAAGAATTGAGAGATATTAAGAACTGTCGATGCTGGAGTCAGAGATAACACAGTGTGGAGTTGGAGGTGCACAGCAGGCCGGGCAGCATCAGAGCAGGAAAGCTGACATTTCGGGTCAGGACCTTTCTTCAGAAATAAACAGAGAGAGGAGGGATGGGGCTGGGGAAGGTAGGTGGGATGGTGATAGGCGAATGCAGGTAGGTAGTGGTGGGGATTGGTCAGTGAGGTGGGAGGAGCGGATAGGTGGGAGAGAAGACGGACAGGTTGTGTCAGGTCCAGGAGGCGGGGATGAGGGGGAGGGTTGTTCATGGGATGGGGCCGGGGTTGGGGAGATTTTGAAACTAGTAAAGTCCACATTGAGACCATTGAGTTGTAGGTTGTAGAATTAATTTATTTTTGTTTCAAAAACCTCCACTTCTTAATTTATTTTTATCTCCCTTATTGCTAAATTAGCAAAAAAGATAGTTTGCAATCAGTCAACCAACTAAAATATATCTCCTCGTATTAAATTAGAAATATTCCAAGTTGAGAAATAATCATGAAAGTCAGTGCCAAACAATTTACATGATGCACCATAAACTGTTAAACATTCAAAAGCATTCGCTGATGATTGCTGTGGAGATTAGGGAAAAAAAAGTTCCTGCACCAATGCAACCGTGTCACTCCATTTTTTTCCTTCCTAAATAACTTCTAACCTCAGTAACAGCTTACTTTATAAATTTGAGTAGCCTCTAATTTTGTAGATTTTTTAAGACAATGTTAAAATAGGAAATTGAAAATCTAGAAGCGAGGGAAGAGATAGTGATACAGATGGAATCATGTTTCTTTCAGGGACTCATGCTGGAAAATATCAGTTGGGATGTTAGGTGAAAATAAGGGCAAACCTGGGTGAAGATGTTCAGGTTTCCACATTTTGTTTACATTCCACATCATAAAAATTGAAATAAGGCAATGAACGAAATAGCAAATATACTATATATACAGACAAGGTTTGACGAAAGAGAAACAAAAACAGAAATTGCTGGAAAAGCTCTGCAGGTCTGACAGCATCTGTGGAGAGAAATCAGAGTTCATGTTTCAGGTCAAGTGACCCTTCCTCAGAACCTGTTTGATGAAACAAAACTGACCCAAGAGAGGCTACATGAACCTAATTCATCCCAAATTCTAAATATAGCCATGGACAGACAAAGTTTTAATTTATGCTGACTAAAATAGTTAAAATCAGTTTGAAAGAGAAAATATTTAATATTGTATTTCCGGGATTTTGGAAAAAAGTTACTATCACGATAATGATTATTACTATTTCAATGTATCACAGCATATTGCCTTCGAAGTATAAATGAAATAACTGAATTAACTCACTTGGCAGAAGTCGAATTATCTGTTTCAACTCTTCTTCAAATCCCACTTCGAGGATACGGTCCGCTTCATCTATTATCAAACACTGCAGGTTCTTGTACATAAATCCTGGTGTGTTCTGCCAAGAGGAGATTAGCAAAATAAGGCATCCAAATAGTATCTCAAGTGGAAGATTTTTGAATCTCAATTATCTGAATACTGTCCCCATTATTTTTGAAATTTTCAAAACAAAACATTAACTAGGCACACAGGCACACAAATTAAGGCAGAGGGAAAAGAAAAGCACAGATGACAAAAATTGTAAATTCATTACGTATGATGTGAAGCCAAGAAGATGTGTTCTAAACAACAAGAAAGGAATTATTGTGATTTTGAAAAATTTACATTGTAAATTTCCAAGTCTACAACGCAGAGGAAACAAAAATTACCAGAAAGGGTCATAATGCAAAAATGAAATTTGAAAGACATAAAAGAAATGCGAGGAGATAAGCCTAAGGTGTTGCCTACCACAACATGGGAATGGAGGAGTAGATTAATTTGTATTAAAATCAAGCATAGACACCTAAATTCTGATAATAGGGACCCTTCCCGACTGCAGCACTGCAAAAGGGGGCGACAGTGACAATTTAACATGGCTGAAAGTGGAGTGTATATTCTCAGATTATCTTATTCCTTTCGGCATTTGAATTCTAACAAAGCACGTCCATAATATGGGAAGAGCAAATGTGCTGTAAGATGCAAAGCATACCTATCTGATTACAAGGAGATCCTACAAGTATCTGTATCTTACAATTACATGAGTTCACAAGTTACAGGGTAATTTAAAAAAAAACACAAGGCTTGAACATATTCCTTCAGTCTTTATGGGCTTCTAGTAAGCATAAAAAAATTAGGACCTTGAGTGACAATCACAAATTGAATGTTAGTGCAGCTATTTACACACTCAATTGTTCAGCAAGTGCTGTATACACTGAATCAGATGAACACTGTTACATTTTGGGTTTTGCAAGAATGAAGGAGAAGGGCAGCATCTGCACGGCAACATCATAACACACAAGCCACACACCATTGTGATTTGTAACCACATTATTGTTCCTTCACT